CCACGGCGCCGCCGCCTCCGCCGGTCGTCGTCGCCGCCGCCGCGTGCGTCGTCGTCGTCGTCGTCGCCAGCGGCGCGGAGGACGCGAACGGCGACCTCGCCGCGCCGCCGGACGCGACCGTCGGCGACGACAGCGGCGCCGTGCGCGCGAACGGGTTCGTCGGCATGACGGTCGACGCGACGACGCGACGCGACGACGACGACCTCTTCTTCGCCTCTCGTCCTCTGCTCGCCGCGCGAGGGGAACCGCCGCGCGACCGCCGCCGCCGCCGCGCGCGATCGAGCTCGGCGGCGGCCTCTCCTCTCGCCGTCGATCCGCGCGCGTTCGCGCGCGCGACCGGCGGACGTGCGCGCGCGCGCCGCGTGCTGCGGACGGACGACGCTCCTCTCGCGATCGTGGGGGTCTTTTCGCGCGCGAACGAACGCGAACGCGAACGCGCGCCACACTTTTTCGATCGCGCCTTCGCCTTCGAACGTCGTCCGTCCGCGTCGTCGCGTCGCACGTCATGGCCTCCGCCGCGCTCCTCGCCGCGCCCGCCGCCTCGGCCTCGCGGCGCGCGCTCGCCGTCGCCGCGCGCCGATCCCCGCGCCGCATCGCGCTCGCCTTCGCCGTCCAAGGCGCGGGCGCGTCGAACGGAGCGCGCGAGCGCGCGACGCTCGCGCCGGTGTCGACCGATCCGAACGTCGCCTTCTACCAGGTCAAGGCGCTCGTGCGCCCGTGGCGACTCGACGGCGTCGTGCACGCGCTGAACGAGGCGGGCATCCTGGGCCTCACGACGTACGCGGTCCAAGGCGCGGGCGCGCAGGTTGGGAGCTCGGAGCGATACAAGGGCACGGAGTTTACGGGCGGCGCGGCCACGGACGCGCTCGTGGAGAAGGTGCGTTCTATACACTGGTCCCCATACGACCGCGTTCGCGTGGTGGACGCCGTTTCTTAAGGACTTTCTCTCCCGGCGCATCTTTCCGCCCACGCCACGGTTTCATTCCCCGACAACGAACGACGCCTATCAACTTCAACTGACGCCTTTCAACTCCACCCCGACGTTAGGTGTGCATCGAGGTGGTGGTGGAGACGGCGCAGGCGCAGGACGTCGTGGACACGATCGTGAACGCCGCGCAGACGGGGGAGATCGGCGACGGGAAGATCTTCCTGCTCCCCGTGCACGACGTCGTGAGGATAAGGACGGGGGAGGTGGGCGAGAACGCGGAGCGGATGGCGGGCGGGAGGAAGGACATGAAAGCGAGCGCGTGACGAGAGGGAAGAGAGGCTGTATGAAAGAATCTTGATTCAACAATCGTCGCCGAGCCCTCTCGGCCCCTGTCGTAAGTCGTCGCGTCTTCATCAGTTCGTCGTCGTTCGTTTCGCGCGCTCGTCTTTACCCATCGTCGTGTTTGTCGTCGTCGTGGACGCGTCCACGCGCGCTTTCAAGAACCGAGCCGCGCGCGCGGGATCAAACGTCGGCGCGGACGCGGACAACGCGAAACCCGAACTCGAACCCGCCGGCGCCGGCGTCGCCGTCGTCGTCGTCGTCGTCGTCTTCGCGGCGGTGGGAAGCGACGGGAACTCCGCGAGTCGAGCCGCGCGGTCGCGCGCGGTCTCGCGCTGCGCGGCGGCGGGAGCGGGCGAAGGCGCCGCGGCTCTCGTCGTCGTCGTCGTCGTCGTCGAACGCTTCGCGCGCGGCGGCGACGCCTCGCCCCCGCCTTCGCCCTTGCCGCGTTTCCCCTTCCCTCCGCGCTCGTCGTCGTCGTGATCGCCGCTCGCGCTGCTCCCACAGCTGTAGAGCTCGTCCGCGGAGTCGTGCACGAGCGGCGACCGCGGCGTCGTCGCGCGTTGGCCGTCCGAGGCGCACGCGGGGGCGATTTCCGATCCCCCGCCGCCGCCGCCGCCGCCGCCGCCGCCGCCGCCGCGCCCCTCGCGCGCGGCGCGCACCGCGAGCTCCGCCTCCCTCGCCTTCGCAGACGCCTCCGCGGCGGCCGCGGCGGCGACGTTCGCAGCCTTCAACGCCGCCTCCGCGGCCGCGTTCGCGACCGCCTCGAGACGCGAGACGCGAAGCGCCTCGGACAGCGCGGCGGCGTCTTCGACGTCCACCGTCGCCGCCGACGCCGATGCCGCGCCGATCCGCGCGGGGGGCGGTCCGGGCGGCAGC